TGCATATAGCTTTTCCCAAGATAATTATATTTGTGATTCATTGAGTTTACCGTAATTTTCGAGTTCGTAGACCGCTCGAGGCGCTTCCCTCGTGAGTAAATGTATAGCATCCTGATCCCCTAGCCAATCGGATCCCTTCACAGTATCATACATATGATACAGCCAATTATCTTTTTGGTGATTAGAGATAGCAGCATTTATGCCACCCTGAGCAGCCACGGTATGCGACCTAACCGGGAAGAGTTTTGATACTACTGCTACACGATATCCTTTTTTACCAAGTCCAAAAGCCGCTCTCAATCCGGCGCCTCCTGCTCCTACTATTACTACATCATAGCAGTGGTCTATCAGAGGATAATTCTGTAAATTAGGAGCGTGGATAATATTAAGCAACTAAAGTAAATATGCTAATTAAAGAATTTAGAATAGCCTATTATCCAAATGCGCTAAAAGATCAAATATTATATATTAAGAAAATCATTTATAATAAAAAAAAAAAAGATACAGGATTAATACATTTATTTTTTTTTTAAAAAATTTGCGTATTTCAAGGAAAATATAAATGGAATAGATAATGTGACTTATAAATTAATTTATAAAAATAATTTATGTAATGATGTCAGGATATAAATATAAATATGAAGAAAAAGAGAATAAAAGTTTGTTTTTTGTTTTAATTTTTGTAAAATATTTGATTATCTATAAAGATTTTTATTAAATAATTTTAATAAAATGTACTTACACTACCATCTTCCACGCCGCATTTTGCTTTTTCCCCTGGACTAACATTTACATGAAAGCTTCGCGAATTTATAATTGTTGCGCGAAATTGTTTCATGAATTTCTAAGAAAAAAATTACTATTTACTTCAAATTAACCAATAACATACACAATTAGTATCAATATAAAATCTTACTAATCCGCTCGTTTGTATTAGTCGACTGACCGATCCAGAGAGAGAAGAGAGAGAGAGATGTAGCATCTTGGTAAATATTTGTTAGGTTCAAATGCTCTTTAACAACTGTCCATAGCTGTCATGACTGATAAAGTTCTTTCAGCTTCATTTGTCAGATAATAAAACAAATGAGAAAAATTTAAATATTTTCACCACACAAATTCATCATACGTATGTGATTATTTTTGTAAGTAATTTTCTGCGTAAACTTTAGGGAAAGATAAAAAGGCTTGCACCTAAGGATTGTAGTTTAAAGTTTCCTTTAAAAAAAATTCGTAAAACTGGATCTGTGGAATTTGTATAAGCATCGCAATTTATTGCACTTGTAAAAATACAGTTTAGAACATACATGATTTATGTCTGTTACATACAATTAGTTCAAAATGTATTCTAAGTTAGACGTCGAATCGGTTTTGTCAAACGCTTATCGCATTGTTACTCTTTGGTATACGTTACGAACACCAGAGAGCTAACGTACTTGACGAATCATTCTTGTTAGAATCATTATAGTAATCTTCAATTAGCACGGTTTGTGTAAATCTTATTATTCTATTTTTTCACATTTTATTCAGAACATTGAAAAAATAGCTCTTTATTTCTTTCCAATATTTAAAAAATAGAATATATGACAAAATTTATAAAAAATAGTAGATCGACAATTTATTCTTGAATTTAAAATCCATGTCCTTGCCAGTGAAAATTTAAGGATTTCCATTTTTATTTTGTTTTCTTAAGATACATATATCAAGTTCTGGTATATTTTCTTTTACCTATAGATTCAAAACAAATTCTTTATATTTTCTGGGACATTCTGTATATTAATTCGTATTTTGAACATATTTGTAATAAATAATCTTTTCTTATCGCATTAAAGAATAAATACGAAAGACCATCACTTCGTAAAATTTATGTGTGCGTTTCTATAATATAGCACATATTTAATTTACATATAATTAATCTCCTCCCTCGCAAGACACGATTAAGTCTGCCTTTGTTAAGATTGATTTACCTCCTACGCGTATTGTCATATCGACACTTTGCATTTCATTATTCATTAGCGACACATATTTATTGAGCGAGCATTAATGCTTACATCGGCACGACTCATCTAATCACTAGCGATTTTCTAATCTTATTTTATGTTCAACCTTGTTACATGATATTAGATATAAGAATCTTGTGAAGATTAAGCGAATTAAGTGAGTTGGTAGAAATTTTTTGGCGAAAATATATAAAAATTGAAGCGTAAGTTGAATGTAAGAAAGTGATAAAAGCGTAGACGAAACTTTTAAGAAGAAAATTGAGATGAAAAACGCTTCTTTCATATTTCGTTATCTTAATTTTCTTTTGATTATTCTTCCCTTACATTTGACTTATATTTATACGCATTTATTTTCACCAGAATACGTTTTCGCAGAATTAAATATTTAAAATTAAAAATTATAAGAGAGGTATCTTAATATCTAAGTCACATAGAGAAGTATGTAAATAAATATCGAATATAAAACAAAAATAAATTTACTTTAATATATTTTAATTCCAAATAACAATCTGTATTTTTTAATTCGTGATTCGCTTCTTACTAGAGCTAAAATGGATTAAACTAAATATATAATAATTTAAAAAATCATATTCACACTTTTACGAGATATATTAATATCGATTCTCCTATTTTTAACAGGAAATATACTTGCACAATTCTTTCCACTTGTATAAAAAGCTTGTATCAAAAAGTCGCACTCGAGAATTTGTAGAAAAGATATAGACTTGGCGATCGCTCGGCGACTCTTGGTATATGTATGTATATATATCATGTGTTTGTGACAAAAACGTTTATGAAACATATCACTAGACTACTCAACATAGCGAACAAATCAACGCATTGTTTACAAAGCGAGCTAAAGTAAATTAAAAAAAATTCTTCTTCGGTGAGATATAAAAATGCTGTTTCGTAAAAGTTACTCTCGAAATTCTAAAATTTATAAAAGCCGTTTAAATTGTGTAGTGCTCTATATATTATTGCGATAAGGCAGTATAATCCATCGCTATATCAGAGAATATTTTTAAAATGGACTCGATCTTGCAAAATATTTTTGAAATTCCAAATTATAGTATACCTTCTCTTCGGAAAATATATTCTCGATCTCGAGAAAATCTTTTTTGAAATAAAAAAAATTAGAATGTACACTTTCATCCAGAGAATTAGAATGTACATTTTCATCCAGAGAATATTTTTCTGGTCATATTTTTTCTTTAGTTCGTTTTTTAGAATATCAAAATACAATGTGATAGCAACGACCCTCGCAAAACAATATTATGTTTCACAACGCAAGCCTTTTAACGCCACACTCGCAGCAAAATTTGGCGGTTTCTGGAAATCGCTGACCACACTCGTGACAGAACTTGGACATCTTGCACTTGATCAACGTTTGAGTCGGTGATGTCCCGTTCCTGGGCACGTCCTCGTCGAGACGGTCGATCACGTCGTTGGCGCTGCGTCCATGATGCGAATATTTGCGATTTAAACTGGAGAGTACAAATCAAATTGAGCTTGAAGCAAGAACGCGAATGCAAATGAATGATGATTAAAACTTACAATTATTAAAAAGCAAAAAACATTTACTTAATAAATTTAGAAATAATAAATTTAGTTTTCGTAAAAAAGAGTACTAAACTTTTTTTACAATAATCGTATTACTGTAATTCTAAGATTTATCTTTTATTTAATTGCTAATTGATTAATCAATGAAGCGAACGATGAAGTATATAAACAATCACTTTAAAGTAGTTTTTACCAACCTGCTATAGGCGGAGTCATTGCTAAGCTTGCTGTGATCTTGCGGCTTGTAGCTGTCGGGAGAGGATAGTTCCTCGTCGCTGATCAGGCTGCCATTTCGTTGTCTGTCGCCGCCGGGGCTGGACAGGTCGAAGGATTCATTATTGAGGAAGGATCTTAATCCGGGAAACGCATCCTCCTCGAAGGATGTCATCAGCTCGTCAAACATCGAGTTCGATCGCTTGACATCTAGCTCCGAGGAAGAGACGATCGAATTGAGACTGAGGTTACTGCCGGACAGGGACGAGTAATTATTGTTTCTTTGATTGAGACTCTGATCAGATGATCTCTGACTCTCAACGTTCCTGGAATTCTTTCTTATATCGCCTAAGGTCTTTCTGTTGGAGCCCGAGTTGATTCTGGGCGCGGACGAGGCTCGGATTGAGTTGGACCGGTTGATTAATGATCCTGTATTCCTCAGCGTGTCTTTATCAAAGATTTTACGCGGTCTATCCGCGCTGACGACGCCGCGACGCTCGTCGACGCCCAGTGCCTTCGATTTATCGATAATAACTCGTCTGCCCAATTCCCTAACAGGTTTTGAGGTCGCGGAATCTGTCGCATCTTTGCCCGTGACATTGGGCTTCAGGAAGACCTCGCGCGAAATAGAATTGGTTTCGGTGGAGTCACTTGAAAAATTGGATAAAAGGTCATCGAATTCAGTAGGTGGCGCTATAAGGGACGACCTCTTATCGGTAGGAGGATATTTTACAAAGGCGGAGGAGTGCGAGAGAGGATAAAGGGTATCACGAGTTTGTTGGACTTTGGGATTCCCCGTCATAGACTGATCACTCGTGTCCGACAGTAGGTCATTCATCTGCTGCTCGGCCAGCAGAAAGGGATCGTAGTCCTTGCAAGTGCCGCTGAAATTAGAATATGTTTAGTACAACCTTTGATTCTAGTTCATTGCTAGAAACTTTCTTGCATAAAACGGTGAATATGAACATAGTGAACAAACATAGTGCGCGCAATATGTATAGGTGATGACAGAGTATGTTTAGCCTATGAGTATTCTATTGCAGATCAGCTATACGTATGCCAATCGATCGATTCTTCAGACAAACATTTACAAACGTGCATGCAAGCTCGAACGCGCATAGTGCAATCTATACAATCTATACTTGCTAGACATAAATAATTCTTTGAGAAATTTAGAATCAATTTCTCTTGAGTTAATGTGATAAATCGACAGCGTATCGCGGGAAATAAAAGGCAAAATAAATAGAACATTCTTATTTTAATGTAAAATTTCGATTTCATTATAAAACAGAATTTTAATTCAGAATTTTAATTATTAAGATGTTAAATGTTGAAATTTGAAAAGTTATGAAAAATAATAATTCGAGATATACTTGTATAAATATATTTTTTTAATAAAGAAAAATTAATTATCTAAATTCCGCAAAAAGCCAATATTGCATGGTTTTTAAAATCAATTCTATCTTTTACAGTGCCCTGAATTAGATTAAAATATGGATAATAATTAGCAATGAACATCAATAAGATAAAATAAAATATCTGAGGAGCAGACTTTCAAAATGTGTTTTATCCAAAATTGGTAATTTTCAAAAAACGAGAAACTAAGACACAAGAAAACTAAGTACTTTACAGAAAATAACAATGTGTCAATCAGTAAGATGTGAAATATTAAACAAATGTAAAATTTGATTTGTTCCCAGTTAAAAAATATAATGTGTGCATTTGAAATGCCTATGTTTTTTCAGTATGTAAATTAACGATGAAAAAAATGCTTTATGAACATCTCAGAGTAGCTTATAATATAAGTCATTCAATTGAACACTATACTATTTCTAACTAAAAAAAATGAAATTTTGGACAAAACGCATTTTGAAAGTCTACTCCTCATCTATTGTGCTCTGCTCCTTCTTCACACTGGTCCCACGTCCTGGAACTTACGTTCTAGCCTTAAGCACGAGATTAAAGTCTGGCCTTCTGCGTACATAATTGCACCAAGCGGGACGTGTCTCCAACTCAATTTTCCTATAATATTGTTAACATATTAACTACCTAACAGCTGTCTTACTAGAATACACAAAGATGCAATAATATGAGAAATAGAAATCTAAAGAAACAATTCTACTATTTATAGTGCGATTGGCAATGCGGTATAGATTCTTTTACCAATTAAATTGCAATTTGCGCAAACTTATTACTACTTAAATATTAATATAACATGACTTATAACCAATTTTGTAAAATCAACATTGCATTATTTTAAGCTAGTTAAATAATTAATTTATATGAAAGTTATATGCTTTTCTAAATATAAATCTATATTAATTAAATAATGTTCTACTCTAATGTTCTACAATAAATAGTATTGACATATAATAAAGAATAATATTAAAATCAACAATTCTACTTATAATACTATAAGTTTCCACTGTTTTTATTATCTCTACCTTCCGTTGATTAAAAATGGATTCAGAACAGGAGGGAGAATACGGACTCTAGGATTTCTTTTAGTAAGCTTGTATTCCGTATGATACGTAGGATGGAGACTAGTTAATCTGCTCCGCGAGATCTTAGAAGTTTTCTCCCAGTACGATCCCTCAGAATCTTCCTTCGTCTCCGCCGCGTCATCCTTTATATCAGGTAAATCCTTAAATACTTTGTGCCGCCTGTTCGGTCTGATTACCTCAATGGTCTCTTGTTCGTAAATGCAATTCGCTTTGGGTCGTCTGATGCTTGCGAGCTCCACGAATTCGACTGAGGATATCAGGGAATCAGTGCTACCACGAAGAAGATTCATTTTTTCCCTGATTCTGTGCTTCATTTCGATGGAATTGACTGGTTGCTCTCGCGAAGCTCTTTTAGCGCCGTAAGCACGTTTTGGAAAATTCACGCCCGCGTTCAAAAAAATTTCGCTACCACGACGCCGTGACTGTTCCTCCGCGTAGTCCATCAACGTGACTGATGACCCTAAACCATCAGCGCCTCGTCTATTGTATTCCTCGACAAGCACAGTGTTATCGCTACCGTAATCGAATTCGCTGTCTACATTCTTCTTGCGCAAACCTTCACCTGTCGTAATTTCCGCTTTAATGATTAAACGGCCATGAAGGCTTGATTTATCGTTCGAACAACTGTTGTCTGAATCTGTGTTGAAATCTGGTTTTCCATTTTTTGTGATATTCTCGATATTTCCAATGCTATCAGAACTGAAATCTTTTTTTTGAAATTGTTTGTTGTTTTTGACATACAAAGATGTATTATTTATAGATGCATTTAAGTAATTATCAGCAGCAATTTCCGAATTTTGTGGAAGAGCATATACTTCACGCTTTAATTTCTTTGAATTGTTCTTAGGTTTTTTATTACAGATATTGGTTAAACCATTTTCATCATATCTTTCTTCATCTATTTTAATTTCTTCAACATTTCTTGTACAATTTTTTTCTGGGGTAAGAATCGGAGAAGAAGTAGAAAGTGATATTTCTTTGATATTTTCTGTTAGATCCAATGTATTGCCACAACTGTGGCTTTGACGCGCTAACGTTTCGTTTTCGGAACTCGAATTACAATCAGTTTGATTATTGCTATCATTTAAAGATGTTACCTCATTAAGTTGATCACATATAAAAGTTGCTATACTTTTTTTTAATTCAACTGAATTATTGCAACGTGCATTACTTTCACATTGTTGTACTTCATCCTTAGAGTTCAAACAATCTTGACTCTGATCAATAAAATTCTTTTCCTTTAATACATTTGACGCAGTTGAATGTACTACATCAAATAAAGAAGATTTAATTAGTTGATCAGATTCGGATAAATTTTGTTCAATTTCGTTGGTATATTTTATACTTTCAGTAATTGTTTCATTCATCGTTATTTGTCGATCCTTTTTATTTTGTTTATAAACATTTAGTTTATTCAATTCTGCAATGTCTGCGCCATTTATTTTTTCAGTTTCTTTTATACCTTCTTTTATACTGGTATTTATTTCTATCTTCTTAACATTATTTTCTCTAACTTCAGTCTCTTCATAGTTTCCTATTCGCTTATTTTCCTCTATACTATTTATATTAAGTTCCTCTATTGTATGTACTACCACTTCAATTTTTTCACTACTGATTTTCCGAATATTTTTAATACTTTTATTATTTGTTTTCAATTCCTCTACTTTACAATCTACTGCAATCTCATCATCTTCTTTATCTTTAATGCACATTTTTAACTCTTTCACTTGTTCAATCCTAATTTTTTCGTCGTTTGCTACAATTTTTCTTCTCGATTTCTTTTGATCAAATTTGCAAATTTCATCTTGCCTATCCAAATTATCCGCTACGATTTCCCTTTCCAATTTCCTTTGATCGCAGATTTCGTCTTCCCTATCTTTCAAATCATTTGCAATAGTTTCCCTTTTCAATTTCTTTTGATCAAATCTGCAGGCTTCGTTTTCCTTGTGTTTTAAGTTGTTCGCTACGGTTTTCCTTTCCGATTCTTTTTTATCAAATTCGCAGATTTCATCTTCCCTATCTTTCAAAATGTCCGCTACAATTTCTCTTTCCGATTTCTTTTGATCGAATTCGCAGATTTCCTCTTCCCTATCTTTCAAAATGTCCGCTACAATTTCTCTTTCCGATTTCTTTTGATCGAATTCGCAGATTTCGTCTTCCTTATCTTCTAAGTCATTCGCAATAGTTTCCCTTTTCGATTTCTTTTGATCAAATTTGCAGACTTCGTCTTTCCTGTGTTTCAAGTTGTTCGCTAGGGTTTCTTTTTCCGATTCTTTTTTATCAAATTCGCAGATTTCATCTTCTTTATCTTTTAAATAAAATTCCACGCGAGGACTGTGCTTAATCGGCTTCCACTTGCTATGAAAAATCTCCGACGGTTCAATATCCTCCGAGTCTTTTATCAAATATGTCTGATTCAGATTCTGGATACCGCTGAGCCATGTAATGTCATCGTTCTTCACTTTATCAACCTTGCAGTCTTTATGGATTTGAATAAAATTATTTTCTCTAATTGATAAATCTCCTTCTGTCTTATCTCTATTTTCATTTTTTTCCTCTTGACTACGTAACTGATCGAGATCGAGCAAGAAATTATGATTAATAATTGGATCGCCAGACTGAAAATTATTTTTCTTACGACTAATCTGCTTCCACGTCACTAACTGATCGTCTTTTTGCATGTTCATACGTATCTTACAAGGTTGTACAGTAATTCCTAGAGTCTTATCGTTCACGGCAACATTGTTGATTTTCGGATGACCTTGACTTCTAGTGGAAACAATATTTTGCATTCTGGCAGAACAGGTTTCTCGATTTCTCGTATCATCATTTGGAATACGTTGGGAGATTGTTTCGTTTTGGTTAAACCGTTTTCTGGATGAAGTATTTGGCGATGTGATTTCATTAGAGGAAACCAAATCGTTAATCTTAGATCTCGTAGGAGGTATAGGTAAGTGGAGTGAATGATGGGAAGATATCGCAAGCTGGAGAGGTCGGCATGACGTTGATGTCAGTAGAGAGTCACGATCTTCCGGTGGCCTGAGGAGATGGAAGCAGGATCAAGGGCATGTGACTAATAATCATCAGGAGAAGGTTGTCAGGGTTTAAATGAAAAATAATATTTTATAAAACAGATAATTGCTGAGAAAATATTTGAAAATGTATACTTATGGTTTTAATCAATTACTTTAAGTGAAGTTTTTGTTGTAAAATCAAATTCAAATATTTTTATATGTTAAATTGTTTCTATTGATGTTAATCAAAATTAATTATAGAATGCTTTTAAACAGCCTTATCCTCTTTCCTTCTCCTCATGGGCGGAATATTAAAATCTATCCTACATTCTATCATACACACACAATCCACAGAATTTCAAATTAATCAAAAAGAAATTAATCACAAAAAATCTCACCTATTCATACGATCGGCAAGGCGTGACTTTATAGGTCCGGATGAGGGAGGGGAATCCTTGAGTTGTCCAGGACGCCTCCTGTAAAAATATATTATATATCATTAAATAACTGGTTACCAGGTCTAAAATAAATCAAAAACACATTATATGCAATATATTGTAATCTATAATGTATTGCATAAAAAATGGATACTAGAAATATTAGGAAAAAAGAAGTATGGATGTAATATTTAAAGATATTAAAAAGAAAAAAGATTAAATCCAAGCAATAAACTCACGAACTTTTTTTTCTTCTTTTTTCTTTTTTCTGAAAACACTTTTTTAAGATAATAAATTACAAGTGAATAAAAAAATAAATAATATTCTCATTTCTTCAAATTTCTGAGCAACTCACTGAAACATTCATTACTTTTTATTTATTGCACTATATTACCAAACAATTATTACAATTTACTTTTTTCTACAAAGAACATAAGGAAACTCAATCCGTTAGCGAGAAAAGCTGGAGAGTTTGACTTACATAATAGCAGGTTTCTGCTTGACGGGACTCTCTCGATTGCAACTGACACTCGAGATAGTCTCCTTTGGTTTGACGAGCGCCGGTGATGACAATGAAGCCTTGGCAGCCTGGTTTGCTGCCGAGCCCGGGCTGTACTTTTCACGATTGATAGCTCGACGGTTTTTCAAAGGCGGTGCCCTGTACCTCATACGTGCCTCTAATCGTTCCTTTGCCAGATTGGTCGCCGGACTCACCGGCATTCGGATAACTCTGTCTTTGCACCAAGCCACATGACGATCATAGGCTTTAATACCGAACTGTCGGTTACACGTGGGGCATGTGCCCTTTTCGTTGGCGCGTGTTGGTGCACCCGACGAGATCAGCGAATTGCATTGTTTGTGCGAATCCATCTAAAAGAATAAATTTTGTAGATGTAAGAATTTAATTACGAATAAAAGATATAGAAATAAAAGCTATATTTTCTTCAATATAAATTGCACAAAGTGAAAACGAAATTTCTTATTTTTAATGTGAGAACAATTTCTTTCTATTTCACTTTCCACTTTGGTGTAATCCGTTTAAAAAATTATTTATATATTGTTTAAAATTTAGTTACAAGAAAGGAAGGAACTCTTTCCAAAGCAATTAAGGATGTACACATGTATTTTCTAATAACAAAATAAAAAAATTATAGATTTTTCTATATAATTGTTATTTGAAAGTAATACAAAAACTGTTTCATATGTATATAATATTAACTTTTATATGAAAAATATAAATTTTCAAATCTAGCCACTTTTTGCGGAGACCATACACCTGATACATCCTTAACACACACAAGAAGATCGCAAAAGGCAAACTCACAACATCGCCGCGTGCCTCACGAATCGTCCGCAGGAAGTCGTCGTGGGTCTTCTTCCAGGTGGATCTGGACCTCTCGTCCTGCTGATGTCGCCGGATCTCCTGCTTAGGCTGGAATTCAGCCAATTCGGTACCTCGGATTCTCTGCTTAGCCGAGTCGAAGGGCTTGCGCTTTTTGATGGCGGAGCGCTCACATATCCTCGCGTGCTTCTCCAAAGACTGCGACGTGAAGGTCCGCGCGCAAATCGCGCACGGAAACAAGATCGGCGCATCTGCGTCCATTTACACGGTCCAACAATTAGTAGGCTTTCGCAATTTAAATTCCATGTAATAATAGTAGATGTTCTATATACGTATAGATGTTTTCTTTTTCTTTCTCTTATTATGAGCAAGATCACGAACTCCGATCCTGGTCGCCGCGCCGGCTGCGTCTATTCGTCGTCAAACGATTAACCGAGATCAAACCCGCGTTGTGTCTTTGATACGACGTAAACGTGATGTTTGCTTTATGAAAAATTAATAAATATTACACTTTCATTCTGTTTTTTTTTTTAATGTCTCGTATATGTGATACTGTGACATTTATCCCCGGCACGCTAATACGGAGATTTGATCTGACTCACCCCGTACTAATCGCTATTCGCTCTGACAAAGGCCACGAATCCGCGGATAATCGATATTTTCACCGACACATCGAGAGATCGCCAAATATGACGACAGTATACGTGACGTAACGAAACTTAGAACATATATGCGCGCATATACGTTAAAGGCAAAATCTTGCAGTGTGAGTACAAAACACGTGCTCGTCATCGCAGTCTGTCTCCGGTCGATTAAATATAATTTGAACATTAGATTTTAAATTTCATTTTTCTAAATAAATACATCCCTAAAAATATATTCTACACATTGTTCTATATACGTATAATACGTTATTCATTATGTATGTATGTATTCATTATATACAGTTTTATTTTTCTAAATGTATTTAATTGATTTTTAATTTTCATTTCTCGAAATAAACAGATCTTTGAAAGTACATTAAAAAAAAATCCTTTTTCAACATATGTTCTATTTGTATATAATGTTTGAGCAGAAATGTAAAAGCCTCTGTATTCAGTAAATAAAAAAATGAGATAGTCGAATCTTTAAACTTCTTAGCATTTTTGTCTCGAATTTTAGAACTAAAATTAATTGTGTAAAAATGATCAGAGATTAAATTCTATAAAATCAAGAAAGAAAAGTAAATCGAGTTATGAGAAAATTAAATCTCTACTTTTTAATCTGACTAACCTAGATTTACTAATTTTTTTGTTGACAAAATGTTGCTTCTGTATTAATATTTTATTTTCATTTGAATTAAATAAACAAAAGCGTAAAAAGTACCGTACTTTTTAAATAGATAATTAAATGTGGTGATTCGTAATATATGTAAATCTTTTAATTATTAACAGGACAATATCAATGCTTTAATTTATCATCATCATTAAAAATTCTATTTAATTTAATAAAATACTTGAAAATTTTGTGTATCAATATTTTGGGTCCGTAAAGTAAATCCTTTCTCTGCAGCCGCAAAAAATAATCAAATGCGTTGTATTTTAAATAGAAATTCTATTTTAATAAATAAAATATTTCTCATGCTATATTAATAAAAACAATAAATTTTTTATTTTTCAAAAGAAGTCTCAATAGTTCGAAGAAGAAAAATTATACAAATTTTTTTGCTATTGCCAAAAACGTATTTGAAGTAAACATAACTACTTTTGCAAATGAGCTATTCATTTGTTATACACGCTCTATTTTCCCCTTGATAATCTCACTTTCTTTCCCGCGAAAAAATACAAAACCTCGGAAACACTACGTCGCTCGCGATGAAACGTGCTGCAATTGGAAATGTCGGAAATCTAAATTGCAAATTGCACTTTCTTCGATCGCCATATTGCGCAACGACTAGCTACAGTCTACTCTTCTTGCAAGATCACACACTTCGAGAGTGCCCCAATTAATATGAGCTATGCATTGCGAGATAACGCTTCTATTCAATAAGCCATTCATTTTTAAAGATGACATGAATCGTACATTTCCTATCCTATGGAAATTTCAATGAGACAAGTAGATCGATTCTTGCAATATCTGATATTGCATCACTGTTCCAATGAAAGCAACGAATCATTTTTCCAGCACATCGCAAGAGTGCAAAAGTAAAGAAATTTTCCACACACGCATGTCTATGTACGCATCTATGTACGCATCTATGTACGCATAAAGCTTTAGTCACTTTTCCATATCTCCGTGATGTTTGATTAAAAATCCTATTTCATTGTTTTCTATAAAAAGGAGGTATATTCGGAAATGTTCCCCTATTTCTGAATCTATTTCTAATACCCTAAATAGCACTTTCGCAAATTCGGGATAAGCAGTAAATAAGAATCTCGACGCGAGGGCTACAATATATACAATATATACAATATATACTTCTACAATACCAGGAGTGATGATTTTAATCGCGCACTCGTTAGTTTCGTGGCTTTTATCCGATCGAACCTCGCTTCCTCGAGAGAGAGAGAGAGAGAGAGAGAGAGAGAGAGAGAGAGAGAGAGAGAGAGAGACTCTTCGTTTTCTCAATTCTATTAAGCGATCAATTCTCAAGTGCGCGTGTCGCGCGGACGCACCTGCGGCGCCGACTCGCGCGGCGTGGCCGCGCCGCACCGACGAGGACGTCGAGGACATCGAAGAGGCCGAGGAGGTCGCCCCCGCGAGACTCGGCTCTCTCGCCTCTCGAGTGAGCAAGCTTCCTTTTTTAGGCGTCACCGAGATTCGAGTTGCCTCGCTGCGAGAGTCACGCGTGTCCCCTATCCGTCACGAACACACGCAAGAGTGTATCCGTTCCTTCCGTCCTCGGATCCTTTTCTTCTCTTCTCTTCTCTTCTCTTCTCCCCTTCTTCCTCTTTTTTTCTTAAGCAAAGAAACACAAGTGTGTTTTCTTTCAACTTCTTTGCATTCATCTTTCCTTTTTTCTCTCTCCAGGTTGGGGAAAAAGAAAATAAAAGAGAAACTAATTTTTAATGCAAGTTCAGTTAAAAAGAAACAGGCTTATAATTTCGTCAGTGTTAATGATCTTTTATTCTTTTCTCATTCATTATTATTTTTTTTTTTTGTAGATTCGCGTGAATAGATTATTTAATCTCATACCGAAGGTTTCTTCAATGTCGATGCGAAGAGAAAGATAGTCGCGTCTTTTTAAATGCGTCGAGAGAATGCGGGTATTTGCCTTCGTTCGTTGCGCAGGTTTCACGTCATTGTACAATGCGTGTATTACGATTGCATTATATATTATTCATGTATATAAAATCCTTTTACCTCGCAGTCTATTATGTCACCCGTTCCATTAAAATTTATGACTCTTAATTTTCATTTAAAGCTTTTTCTTATTTTGTTAAATTTTCGTTTTTTGCGCTTTTCTCATTTCTAATCTCCGGCGGCAAGAATTGCCTTAGGCAATTCGTATGCGTAACAACAAACAGACGCTGTTAAAATGATCTCATTGCGTCGAAACCGCTTAGCGACGCCCACAAATGCAATTTGCTTCTATTCTGTTTGCGTTTTCCTTCCAGAGTCGCGCGCGTTGGAAACAAACCGGTGAAGGTTTTTTTTTATTTTTTCACGTCAGAGCTATTGCCGTTTTTCTCCCGTCTAAGATCGACGGGACTCTTAATGCAATTGCTAAGTCGGTGCAAATTGATCAGTATGCATGACGGAGGTGTGTTATTACGATTCTTACAGCCGCTTTTAGATGTGTGCGAGTAGCAGGAAAATAAATATTTTCACCGACACTAAATGTGAAATAAAAAGGAAATCCAAAGTAGCTCTTCGAGGAACGAGGCAATAATGATTAATGATAGTCGTGCGTAGCTACTGAAGTTGTTCTGTTGATTTAAAGCACTTCATAAATTATCGTGCAATTTATTTAAAAGAGAAGAAAGATAGAGTGTTAAAACATTCAAAGTTGTTATACAATTATTGTAGCAAATTTTAATATTTTTCAAACAAATTAACAAATTTTTCGAAGTTATAATTACGTGCCGATAATAATGCGATGATGTGTACTAATTGAAGCTATTTGGCTTTTGATTTGAAAAGTAAGTTTGAGCGTCAATTGGTATCTATACAAATGTAAACAAGTATTTACTTATATTCTAAATATGTAATGCATAATATCAACAGCGGCAGAGTCGCTCAACATAATTCCGAAAATATCGAATCCATGTTAATTTTCACAGAAATCGATCGCATTAATTTATAAATATTTAATATCCATTAATTAGCGGTTTTTAAATTATACACGATTAATCTTTCATTCTTCGGTCTTATCGCAAAACACACTTTACGAAATTAATGTAGAGGCCAGATAAACATAGAGTATGTACGTTCCCAACAATTCATCGTCCAATCGTCTAAAAGATTCGAACGCGCTCGCGCGAACAACATTCGATCATTCAATGTAATTCAAGATATAATGATACTTGAGAAGGAATGTTAAAAAAACGCGGGCTCACCTTCGGGAAACAGCTCGATTTGAATCTCACGAATGGACGATAGTGGACTATTATCGGTCTCGTTATGAAACAAGATCCCGTCGTGGAACAGGGCCTCGTCGTAGAACGGGCCTCCGTCCGCGAGTCTCTTCGGGACACAGCACAGCATCTGATTACAAGCGCATCAAGACACCGACTGAGAGAACGCGCGACTCGCGAGGTCAGACAGGCTCTTGTAAGAGCGGCGCTCTTACAATCATTATAACCGCGAGTATCTTCGCAACGGAAGTTTATTTTCGGCCCCGACTCGCCGTCTCACGAAGCGAATCTCGCTCCTTTTCTCGCCTCTTTCTTCAGTGCACCTTAACTGCACTTAACGCTTACAGTAACAGTGTAAAGGGGGGAGGGGGGGTGCCAAAGAAAAATATTCGATGGTTCTCGTATTCTTTTAGAAACTTCTTTCAAAATGAAAAATTAACCTTGCTGAAGTCAACTTCGTAACGTATCTCTGATCTTCCATTACACAATTATATTACAATTATATTACAATTATATTACATTTGAAAATATTGCTCCTCGTTATCTAACATTTTATACATATTAGCATATCATCCTTAATATTAAATTCGTACCATATCATCCTTATTATTAAATTTTATTATTATACGAAAACAAATTTTCACTTTTGATATAAAGGTAAATTTCTACTTCTTTTGTTGCTGTCGCGAATATAAGCACTTCAAAGTATAAATAATAAATTATAAATAATTTAAGATTTATTTACCACTATCTGCTATCTCAAATTAACAAGTTAGAAAAGAAAAAGGGCACGATAAAAATTCTTGCAAATTATATTTAAATAGAAATATTTTTCAATAAAGCATTTGTAATCATGTAGAATAGATTTATAAAATATATTAAATATTATTACATATTTTTATAAATATTATTATCAATTTAACAGTTTCTCACAGTTCATTTAATTTTTATTCATTTCCAAATATATATATGATTATTTATTAATTAAAGAAACAAAAAAAATTTTTGCAAGTTTATATTTTACAAGTTGGTTCTATCGATTTAAGTTTGATTTTATTGAAAAACATATTTGCAATATTAATATATTAATATATTTTGCAGAAATTTTTATTGTTACATTTTCTCACTTCGACATCACAATTTGAGATAACGATGAAGAGTAAACAACTGTCTTAAATTAAACTTTACTGATTATTTTTTTCTCTCTACATAAAAATTCGCGATTTTCTTCGGAGAAAAAGCTTCTCTAATGTTACTTCTTCCTTCCATAACTATACTGGTAACCACAACAACTCTTATCCTATATACAGCAAGCAACACAACAAACAAATTGAATTATAAAAAGAAAAGGAGAAAAAAAAATTTATCAAGCCAATATTATTATTAATTTTTTTTCTTTTAAGCGTCTATTGAAATAAACAAAATAAAGCAATTGGAGATTCACGCTATGATATAAATAAATTATATTAAAGCTACAAGTACATTATAACGATTATCTACCATGTGCATCTTCCTTGCATTCATTCCACGTGTGCACTCATAAAATCCGTCTTAAAGCCTCTATTACGAAATAGAGGTCGATAGCTTCTTTCGTCGCGGTTCCCCCGCGATATTTCTCGTAACTGTGCACCGATGACCACGGCCGTGTGCTATTTACCCTATAATTAGAATGGACGGGGATCGTGAAGAGCGAACGCGTCGAGGAACCGGAAGCGAACCACAACGGCGGTGACGACGGCAACGGGAAAAGCTACAGAGAAAGTGGGATCGGCCCGGGAATCTCTCACTTTGTTTGCCGCTCGCACGTCGTAAATATACCCGCGCGACAATGCATACTCGCACTTACTTACCCTCAGCTTCGGCCATGTTCGTCGTTAAGGGAAACACTGGTCGCTATGGGAACGCCGTTGCCAATCCCTCTTTAGAGAACAACCACGAAGCACGAGGCAGGATTACACTTCTCAAAATCCTCTCGCAATATTTTCAGTTTAAACCTAGCGCATAAAGAGAAACTTTGTGTGCGTAAATTCTTTTATATAAAATTAAAAAGTCATATGAGAACTGAACTGCAAAACATAAATTTTTGTGTTGGAAAAAATATATACAAGTTTTTATACAGATTTTAAGAAATTAAATTAAGAGTTAGACATGCAGAGTATTCGTAGAAAAACATGTAATGATAGTAAAAATCTTAATGTAAATATTTTTTTATAAAAAGAGGAACCCACAGCTATATAGCTCAAGCAGAAATAATTTTGAAGATATCAATGTTATTCTAATATATTTTTCTAATATCTTATTAATACTTCTGAAGAGAGCTGGAGTTTATGGAGTTTACAGAGTGTTCAAATGTTGAACACTGATGACATCTGTCGTTCGAAGAGATCTACAACCGAGAACATTGCGCTTTCTGTATGCGTCAGCTGATCGCCATGCATGCGTCAAACATATGCAGGGAGCTTATTACGGTTCTTTAGACGAAATGAAAATTACAGAAATGAAGCAAACTCACTAGATGTTAACCAATGAAGTTATAAATATTCTAATAAATTCGATCACTTTCGTAATTTTCACATTGTTTCAAGAATCGTAATAAGTCCCTAGATGCACATGATTTCGAAACCAAACTCCGATTAATATAATATCTAAAATTAATTCAATTGGCACGATTACTTTATCATTACAGAATGTTTAATTATATAATTCATAATTTTTAATATGATCTTTTATCCATAATTAACAATAACAAATTTATTTTATTTATATAATAATATTATATTAATAAAATGGTATCTTATATAGATATTTTGCTTTGATAAATTAATCACTAATATATGTTGAGATTATTTACTGAGATTGTTAGCACTCATTAAGATTTTTCGTTTTGCTTATATTTTGCGCATTTTATTTTCTTGTTTCGTATCTTTTTTAATATCAAATTCAATAAAAATAGTTCAAAAAAGTATGAATAAAATAAATTTCTTGGTGAGGGATCGATTTACATTATTTTGACTGCATTAGGTATAATTATGATGTATTTTCTATGAAAATTCGAAGTTTTCTGAACTTGTTTAAAAGAAATTACAACTTTGATTTAAAAACAGACACCGATTTCTTCCTTTTAAATTTCGCGGGCTCATGACGGCGATATATCATCCATATCGTATTATGACGTTAACCTTGCCAATGATAAGCGCTGTTTATTATGCCTCGGAAGCAAGTCTCACGTCACAGTGTAAGTCGGTGTTGTCGAGTTCAAAGTACGCGATTACACCTTACATCAAACTAACCTAAATTTCTTATCTAAAATCTTGTATACAAAGTACAGTATCGTGACGAAATGATAGTTATCTCGAGATTCGTTACCAAAAACGGCTTCGCCGTTTCTCAGGTATTTTATGTTGCAATTATGTTTAATCTAATGGAAAACTACATAATTATATAATGTTTGTACGACATCATCATTCGCGATTATGTACGTTGCACTTTGCAGTGTTGTGTGCACGTCACGGAACTATTTTATTCGCACATGTTCGATGTTGATTGGTTTGTGAGAAAACGAAGGAATTGCGGGAACATTTCAAACAATGCGCGAAAATTCGAATTCTCACTAACTAGTTCTATGATATTATCGATAATTATTAATTTAAATTGTTACTCCGTAATATTATTCAATATTGCAGGGAAGATATATCGCAAGAACATTATCCACCGAGAAGAAATATGTGCAGACAACTGAAAAAAATGGGGTAGAAATATTATTTATTTTTACTTTTCTAGTATCCATTTCTACTGTAATGTAAATTAATTTATTTAATCTCGATTTAATTTACTCTTTATCTTTTTCTAATTCTTAGAACAAGAAAAAGATAAAAAAACAAATCAAGATTAAAGTTAACCTACATTAATAGAAATGGATATTATAATTATATTTTTTTTATTCCATGTAGAATAATTTAATTCCAACTCTATTGATTATTTATATATTTATTAAATTTGTGATAATTTAAAAAATTAACACTTGAAATTTTAATTATCAGTATTAATAGAAATTATTAAAAATTTTTGTTTATTTATATTTACAATATTAACAATTGTTACTAAATTTTGCTAACTTACAATCCCAATTCTAATAGTTACAATTACGATTCAGCAATTATATTAATAATTACAATTATCTATTTTTCAATACTCAAAAGATCAATCAACTTTATTTCATAATCAGGTCAGAACTATTTGTTTGTGCGACTCTTCTACGCGCAATTCCCTATCGCTGGGGATGCTAAAAACTTTGGTGACAGAGATCAAGAGAGATGAGGACAACAAGGACCTCCGGTCGATCGTACTCATGTCTGAACAAGGAAAGGTGTTTTCTGCCGGACACAATCTGAAGGAACTGGTTTGTAGCTAGGGTTTCACTTCCATAACAGTTCCTCTTCGTATTCGTCGCACAGAAAAAAGTATCATCGGCTCACATCGTTTAGACAGCTACGAACGCCAAATCTCACAAGGACGTGTTTGAGATCTGTTCGGAGTTGATGCGCGCCATCAATCAGAGTCCAGTGCCAGTAATCGCAGCGGTGGACGGTTTGGCAGCCGCAGCCGGCTGTCAATTAGTTGCGGCGTGTGATATCGCGGTGTGCACGGAAAGAAGTTCGTTCTCCACTCCAGGGTACTCTCATAAAATTTTACTTTTCATGATTTATTGTCACATAATTATTATCTTATTAATATCATATATTATTGATTATATTATTTCAATATATTATTGAAAATGTTACTTATTATTTTTTATTCAATGCCTTTCACAGAGCGAATGTCGGAATATTTTGCTCGACACCGGGTATACCACTGGTACGCAATGTGCCAAGGAAGAACGCAATGTACATGCTGTTTACTGGATTTTCTATATCCGGTAAAGAAGCTTACGAATGCGGTCTCGTTAGCAAAGTCGTGGCGAACGACAAGCTCGGTAAGTCATCAACAAAAAAATGAGAAAGATTAGAAAAAGTAATACAAAAATTAAATCGAAAAATAATAAATTAATTTTAAATTATTTTAAGAAGTTAAGCTATTTAAAAAGAAAAAACTATTAGAAATTATTTTGTAAAGAGATAGAAAATAATTACCTTCTTCTTTTTATTATCTTTTTTTAAGAGTTTATAAGAAAACACACGCACATACACACATTTCCGAGGATAATATATTAACATATTTGCAACCGTTGACAGTATTGTTGCGTTTTTTAATAAAATGTGTTTAACTGGTTGATCTATAGTACATATATTTCTTAAAATTTATAGTTGTAAATATGTTATGAATATAATGCTGAGTAGTTATAAATTTTAACAAAACATTGCTATTAACGTAATGATACGTCTTTTTATATTTGAAGTTCAAATTGATTAAACAGAGTGCAGATCCAGTAGTTAGAGAGAGAGAGTTTTATCTTGAAAGAAAAAATTCATTTACGTATTTTCGACGGAAAAACACGCAAAAATTAATATAAATTATTTTCATAATATTTTAAGTGTTTTAAGTATAATAAAAGGTAGATATTTAATTTGTAATTTTGCAGAAATCTTTTACATTTTCGAAAATATCTTATAAAATATTTATAAATATGAAATTATATTTTTATATATAGTTAAAAGTATATAATTATTTTTTTATGTAAAAGTGTTTAATTAATTTTATTT